CCCGCCCCCATCAACCTAGGGTTGAATGGGTCTGTCTAGATCCTGTGAACTCATCATTAATTAGCCTGTTAAATGGCTAAAAAGAGGGGGAGGGGCCTGACAGGGCTCTTTCTGAAACAGCGGTGGTCGTAATTAGGTGAATGGTGTGGTTGGCTATTATTTATTCCAGTTATGATTACACTGGGATCAGCTTCTCTGATTGGTGGCTTGGCAGGGAAGTCTCCACCCTCTCCCAACCACCACCACCCATCAGCCTTTAGAATTGTTGCTGCTGCTTGCCTGGGAGGGCCTTTGGGTGTGCCAAGGTAGTGGGTGGCTTTGTCCACTATGATTTTCTACTATGGGCTTCTCAGGCTGCTAGACCCCCACCTCATGGCAATGCCCAAGGTCCCAGAAACAGGCTCCTGAGCTTCTCAGTAAGGGGCCTGCCAAGGTTCCCACGTGGCCTGGGATGCCCCTTGCTCTTGCAGTCTGCCTGAGCTGAACTGTCTCAGCGTCCAGGAATGTAGACTTCCCTGCCAGTCTTAGCTCAGACTGGCATGAAGTTTGGGGCGCCAAATGGCACTAGATTGGGTAGACAGGAGCCTGGGGTCAGGGACCAGGGGCGTGGACAAATTGGAAGGGTGGGTGGTAAGAGCAACAGGGCTGTCTTCTCCCAACGTAGCATCTTCTGCAGGAGCACTTGAGCACCTGGTGTGGCCAGGAGGTGGAGTTCTGCCAGCCAGGCTTAGGTGCCTGTGGGCACACCTGCTGCTGTGCACACTCCTGCTGCCCCTGGCTACATTTTCTGGCTCCCACGAACCCTCCCTACTCCAGGTACTTGCACTTCCAGGGCAGGCATGGGCTTGTGTCTGCTGCCTGGGAATGTGCTTGGCTGAGGCTGGGCCCAGTGGCCTAGCCTTGGCTAGATTCTAGGGGAGACCAGGGAGCAGCCAGAGGGTGCTTTGTCAGAAAGAAAGAGGGTGGTGGTCATGCCCTATATGCTCAGAGAAGGTGGCAGCTCTCCTAAGGCCACGCAATGATAAGGAGTCGGAGCAAATTCTGATCCCCCCAGGTCATCTGACTGATCCATAGTTTTTCCCTTGTCCCTGAACTCAGACCTTTTTTTGTGACCCTGGAAGTTGCTACCTCTCAAACTGACCCTTCTACCCAAGTGGTAGACAGGTGGCTCAGGGGTACAGGTTGAGGTTGGGGGGACATGGGTGTCTATGTTCTCTGAAGAACTTTGTTCATTTACAGAGTGCTTTCACATACACTGTCTTATTAACCCTGCAAGATCAGTGGTATTAGTCCCATTTTTCTGATGAGAGAACGAGACTCGGAGGTGAAGTGACTTCACCCAAACATCTCACAGCTAGTAAGAAGAGGAGTTAGGATGAGGACTCTGATCTTGGGACTTGCTCTTTCCACTCTGCCCTGTCTGTGGAGCCCTGGAGGTGCCTGTCTCAGGCATCGGTCAGGTGTGGATTGTGTGGACTCTGTGAGTGCAGGTGGACTCTTTAGAGCCTGGGGTGACCTGCTAGTGCTGTGGGGTGAAGGTGGCTTTAGCCCTGCCTGCTCTGCCAAGCGTTTGCTTTCTCCACAGGCTGCATGTTGTGCCTGGGTCAGTCCACCTTTCTCCGCTTTAACCACCCGGCTGAAGCCAAGTGGATGAAGAGCATGATTCCAGCAGGGGCCCGGGCTCCTGGGCCCCCCTACGGCCCTGGCCTCGGTAGGTACCCAGCTGGGGCAGGGGGTTGGGTTGGTACTCCTTGGACAGTCCTCCTTCTTGCCCAGTTCAGCCACACTTGGAGTGTTAGGGCAGGACAATACCTACGGTCTGGGCTCATTGCCACCTGCCATGGGTTGGTGGAGAAGCCAAGCAGTGGGGCCACTGGGAGAGATATAAGGCAGTGCTGCTTAGTTAAAATTGGGGAATCGTACCTCGAGGAACGGAGGGCTCTTCCAGCCTGTACCCCACTGTCCTGGAGGATGGCGCTCAGTGTCTGGGACCTGGCCCACTGTGTTACCACCAGGGAGCCTCACCCTCCAGGGGGGCAGAAGGAAGCATTAGGTTGGACCCCCTAGTAAGCTCTGATGGGTTCCACCTGCTGATGAGCATGTCCTTGGGCGCTGCCCAGCCCTCAGGCCATGCCATGCCCACCGATGACTCAATGGAACAGCTGCAGTTTGTGTGTGAATTATTGATCCCTGGAGGAGAATTGCTGATTGTTCCAGGGAACCAACAGATGCCTCCTCAGCCCAGCTGCCTAGGGGGTGGGTTGTAGACAAGGAGGCCACCAGTGATTCTACCACCCTAGACTTTTGCACTGGCATTCAGGTGGCTGTGGGATGACAGGTGCCAAAGTGGTGCTGGGACAAGTGGACACATATGTTAGGTATACCTAGTTGGTTGGTATTGGTGGTCTAAATGTATAGTCTGGGGACCTGAGGAAAGGTGGATGGTACTGGGATCACTCAATATCCATGAGAACCCCTCTGACTTTATCCCACACAATCCTCATAATATCGGACCCAAACTCTGTCTTGTATAGGTTTTCCCTCACTCCCCTATCCCCAGTCTTTTCCAGTCCCCTGGGGGCTCAGAAGCCTGCATTCCCAGTCCACTCCCTAGTTAATTTTACACTGCCCCAACCCCAGCCTTGTCGTGCCACTCACTTAGCTGTTTGGGGCAGTGGTTCCAGGGACTCCTGATTGGTTGACTAGGGCTGGGGCAGGGCAAAGGCAGGCTCTTGTTGGCGTGGCTTAATGGGATAATTGGAGGACCTGAGCTGCACCTAGTTGCTGGCCAGCCTGGCTTCCAGGAACCAGCCATTAGCACCAGATCCTTCCCCTGCCTCTGATTGGACAAAGTGGTGCAGCACACACCCCTTGGCGAGCCCTGGAGACTTTGGTTTTTTTCCCTTGGGCCTCTGGTTCCTGTGTTGGGAGGCCCTGATGTCCTATTAGGCTAGAAGCCCCTGGAACTTCTGGCCAGCTCTTCTGGCCCCCATCTCCTTTGTATAGCGTCCACCTGCCCATCCTGAGGAGAGATATAGGAAATTGGGAGAACCAAGGCAAGGAGGATTCTAGTCTTGGGGTGAGTTGGCAACAACTTCGCTTAGAAGTGCCTGGCATTGTTGCTAACTCTGTCCTGAGTCATTAAATGTTAGAGGCAGAAGGGCCCTGCCCATTCATTTCCTTTATGGAAGGGGAAACTGAGGGCAAGTGACTTGGCCAGGGTTGCACAGCAGGTCAATGGCAGAGCTGGATGGTGCCAGAACCCAGATCTCCTGGCTTCTTCTCCAGAGCCTTTGTAGCCTCCCTGTTCTAGGAGGAGGTGGGGCAGTGCCCTTGATTTTATGCATTTGTAGCTCCCCAAAGTCGAAGACCAGGGCCTGAGGCCTTTTTGCATTTCCCTGCAGTGGAATCAGAAAGTCTGGTGAATGGGAACCACACCCCACAGCCTGCAACCCGGGGACCCTCGGCTTGTGCCAGCCACAGTTCCCTGGTGAGCTCTATTGAAAAGGACCTGCAGGAGATCATGGACTCTCTGGTGCTAGAGGAGCCTGGAGCTGCTGGCAAGAAGCCTGCTGCAACCTCTCCACTGTCGCCAATGGCTAATGGTGGGCGCTACCTGCTGTCCCCACCAACCAGCCCTGGTGCCATGTCTGTGGGCTCCAGCTATGAGAACACCTCTCCAGCCTTCTCTCCACTCTCCTCACCAGCCAGCAGTGGAAGCTGTGCCAGTCACTCACCCAGCGGGCAGGAGCCAGGACCTTCTGTGCCCCCGCTGGTGCCTGCCCGTTCATCCAGCTACCATCTGGCCCTGCAACCCCCACAGTCCCACCCGAGCGGTACCCGCTCCTCTGAGAGCCCTCGGCTGGGCAGGAAAGGGGGTCATGAGAGGCCTCCAAGCCCTGGCCTCCGGGGTCTGCTGACAGACAGCCCTGCAGCTACTGTCTTGGCAGAGGCCCGCAGAGCCACTGAGAGCCCCCGGCTGGGTGGGCAGCTGCCCGTGGTGGCTATCAGCCTGAGTGAATACCCAGCTTCCAGTGCTCGCAGCCAACCCACCTGCATTCCTGGCAGTCCGAAGTTCCAGCCTCCAGTCCCTGCTCCCCGCAACAAGATTGCCACACTCCAGGACCGCCCTCCCAGCCCTTTCCGTGAGCCTCCAGGCACTGAGCGGGTGCTGACAACCAGCCCTTCACGCCAACTGGTGGGCCGAACATTTTCAGATGGGTTAGCCACCCGCACCTTGCAGCCTCCTGAGAGTCCCCGCATGGGTCGGCGGGGCCTGGATAGTATGCGAGAACTCCCTCCCTTGAGCCCATCTCTGTCCCGACGAGCTCTCTCCCCTCTGCCTACCCGGACCACCCCAGATCCCAAGCTAACCAGGGAAGTGGCAGAGAGTCCTCGGCCCCGGCGCTGGGCAGCCCATGGGGCTTCACCAGAGGACTTCTCCTTGACGCTGGGGGCACGGGGGCGTAGGACACGGAGCCCCTCGCCCACACTGGGGGAGTCCCTGGCCCCCCGCAAGGGCAGCTTCAGTGGCAGGCTGAGCCCAGCCTACAGTCTGGGCTCTCTCACAGGGGCTTCGCCCCGCCAGAGCCCCTGTGCCCAGAGAAAGCTCTCCAGTGGGGACTTGCGGGTGCCCGTCACGAGGGAGCGGAAAAATAGCATCACAGAGATCAGTGACAATGAGGACGACCTCCTGGAGTATCACCGGCGGCAGCGCCAAGAGCGACTCCGGGAGCAGGAGATGGAGAGGCTGGTGAGCGGATGGCAGGGAGGCTGCCACCATCCATGGCAGGTTCTCTGCCAGGCCTCAGGCAGGCCAGCTGGCAGAGCGGGAGGGGCCCTCGGACAGGGCCTGGGTTTCTCAAGCTTTCCTGCCTCCAGGATACACCTTACTGACTAGTATCTCATGGTTCTAGTGTCCTGATGAAGAACTTCCTTTGAAATCTCAGGCTTTATTTTAAATTCATGCTAATTTTGCATTTATTCTACAACATAGCACTTGTTTTAATATATAAATTAAGTTTCATGTTATTTACCTTAGCACAGCAAAGCTCTAGGAAAACATACCACATTTATGGTGAGACCTTGCACCTCTCAGTTTGAGAAGCAGGTCATGGTGATGGGAAGGTCAGAGAGGGGAATGGATTTGTCGAAGGTCACACCTCAAGTTCTGGCAAAGCTGGAATTGGAACCCAAATCTCTTGTCTTTTCGACTCTGTCTGAGACTTGTCCTTTAGAAAGGCCCCTGGTCCTTCTCTTTTTGCCTCTCTTTGGCCTCTACAAATGGGTGGGAGCTGCTCCCCCTGGCCCAGGAAGGATCATCTGGGAGTGTGGGTGGCAGGGAAGAGGGAGAGGACAGGGTGGACAGCCCCTGGCCTGACCCCCGGCTGGCCTGTGTAATTGTGATTGTGTGTGTCTGTGTGCATGCGTGTGGGTGCATGCAGGGGCTGGGTGTGGCTATGGGCAGCTGTCCTGGGGATGGCATCTGAGCTGGGTGGGGGCTGGGATTCCCCAGATAGCGCAGGGAGCTTAAGGGGCTCCGGCCAGTGTGTACACACACGAGCCCACATACAGGAGAATGGATTCTGCTGTCTCCCTTGTGAGCAGAAGAACAGGGTTCTTGGTGGGAGAGGGCCCAGGAACCCTGGGATTGGTTTGAGGAGAAGAACCAGAACTGAGGAGGTTTGTCTGGAAACCCTTTCAGAAGAAGTTGGGACAGTTTTGGGTGAGGGTGTGGGACAGTGTTTGTGTTGGGTGGGGAGAGATGAGGCAGGATCCCCAGTTTTTTCCTTCACTGTATCCTCTCTTTACTCTTTTGCCTTGTCCTGGAAGAGAATGTTTGGCCTCCTGGGGTCTCATCCTGGAGAGGGGGCAGTGAGCCTGGCACAGGCCGAGTGGTGGGCCCAGCCTCCCCAGCTCCTCCATCAGCCTCCCACTCCATCCCCACGTGCAAGCACACACCTCACCACCAGCCCTGACCTGCCCCACCTGCCACTTTAAGTCTGAGAGGCTGCCGCCCTGCCCCTCCCACCTCAACCAGGCTGCTTATCTGGGTCCTGGGGCAGGGGTGGGGCACTGGCCCAGCCTCCTGGGTACAGAGGCTCTGTTCCTGGGTTTCTTTTTTTGCCATGGAACTGGGCAAGCAGCAGGAGGTAAGCCAGGTAAGTGGAGGCATTATGGACAAACCGCAGGTGGTGAGAGACACCTAAGGAGGACGAGGGACCCTAGAGAGCTATGGGAGCCCGGGGGCTGGGCTTCAGGGTTGGGTGTTATGAATGGGAGAGGGGGACGAAGACTGGAAACGTGATTGTACCATCCCTCCCAGGCCCGAGAGGTGACTGTATCAGAGCTGGGGTGTGTGCGGGGAGGGGGCTGATTAAGTGACAGGGCCATGGAGCACTCACACCTGGGCCTGGCCGTTCAAGGACTGGCAGGAGCTCACCCTGCTGGTAAGGGGCCAAGGGCTGCTTGAAGGTGACTTGGAGCTGAGGTGGGGACAAGGAGGACCATGTTCCAGGTCTGCCTCTACTCCCAGTGTGTCCGTAGCTGGGTGTCAGGTCCCTGTGGGCCCACGGGTGTGTTTTCTAGCCTGTCTGTATAGGTGCCCACCTGTCTGTATGCTAGACTGTGTTTATCTGTGTGAGTGTGCAGCGGTGTGCATTTGTGCATGTCAGGGCTGGTGCCTTTGTACCTGCCTGTTAATGTAGGGCCGGTACACGTGTTGTATCCTTGTGTGCCTGTGTGTCAGTGTGTCCTTGTGTGTACACATGTCAGCATTAGCATCTGAGTTTATCTGTGTCTCATTGTGGTCTTTAGTCTGCCTACAAGTGTTTCCATGTGTGTTTGGTGTGTTCCTGTGTGTCCACGAGGAAGCCCCATCATCCTGCGATAGAATGAGAAGGGAAAGGAAACAAGGAAATAGGAAGACAGGAAGGGTCAGCCACGTGGGCAGGTGGCACATCAGCCTGGTTCCTCCTGCCCACTTCTGAGGTACCCTGCTTCCCTATGCCTCCCCCAGATCTTGGGGCTCTCCTGACTTGAAGCAGAGCCCAAAGTGCCTAGTGTCCTCGCTGTCCCTCCTGAACAGGACACTGAGCCTGGCTCTAGCCTCATCAGGGCCTAGCCTCCTCCCCAGCATACCCTGCTCTGTCTGCCCTCCCCAGGAACGCCAGCGCCTGGAGACCATCCTGAACCTGTGTGCCGAGTACAGCCGGGCTGACGGGGGACCTGAGGCTGGGGAGCTGCCCAGCATTGGGGAGGCCACTGCAGCATTGGCGCTGGCAGGCCGGAGGCCCTCACGAGGCTTTGCAGGGGCCACTGGGGCCTCTGGGCAGAGCAGTGAGGAGCCTGGAGGTGCCACCCAACGCCTGTGGGAGAGTGTGGAGCGCTCAGATGAGGAAAATCTCAAGGAGGAGTGCAGCAGCACTGAGAGCACCCAGCAGGAGGTGGGATGGAGTGGGGACGAGGGCAAGGGGGCTGGTGTCAGACCTGCTGGGGGCAGAGGAGGCTATTGTGAATGCCAAGGCCTAATGAGGTGGAAGTAGTTGAAGGATCAAGTTTAGGAAGAGATTGGAGATCAGAGGTGTAAAAATGAGGAGACAAGGAAGGGAAAGGAGGTGTCAGTGAGTTTCCCAAGCTATAAATATGTTTTATGACCTGCCTTTCCTTGGGGCCCCACCCAGGTCTGGCACTCAGGGGTAAATATTCCCTTTAGCCTAGCCCTTATTGTTCCCCTTGCAGGGAGGGGAATTAGCCTCCTATCTTAGTCCAGCTACCCCTACCAAGTACCCTGAGGAGGAGGTGATCCATGCTCTTAGTCTGATCCTAGAAGGCTCTGGGCTTCTGGGGCTAATGGCTTCCCTCCCCTCCAGCATGAAGATGCACCTAGCTCCAAGCTCCAGGGAGAGGTGCTAGCCCTGGAGGAGGAGCGGGCTCAGGTGCTGGGGCGCGTGGAGCAGCTCAAGGTCCGTGTGAAGGAGCTAGAGCAGCAGCTGCAGGAGTCGGCCCGAGAGGTGAGCTGTTGAGGGTGGAGGGTGGATGCCTCCTAGGCCGTGTGAAGGCCCCACAGGGGGGCCTGAGTCTAGCTGCCTTGATGGAGACCCTGGTATCTGCCCCCAGGCTGAAATGGAGCGGGCACTGCTGCAGGGGGAGAGGGAGGCAGAGCGAGCACTGCTGCAGAAGGAGCAGAAGGCAGCGGACCAGCTGCAGGAGAAGCTGGTGGCCTTGGAGATGGGCATCCAGAAGGAGAGGGACAAGGTAACCCACACCTGGCCCAGCCCAGTGCTGGGTACAAGTGGCCGGGGAGAGAAGGAGAACTATCTTCTCTGGGGCCCTGTACCCCTCAAGTCGTTATTCATCCTGCAGACCACATGGTCTCTGTGGCCCTTCGAGACAGGGTCCTTGTCCTCTGAGGAAGGTACCAGCTTGGAGGGCACTGCCAGGGGCTGGGCTGGTGTCTGGGGTCTCCTCTGTCTGGGTCTCTGTGCTACCTGTGGGTGCCTGGGTTCCTGCCATTCTGGGCCCTTCATGGCCCTCCTAGGAAGTGCCGAAGCCCCATCTTGGGCAGTGAACAAGCCCGAGGGGCTGATGCTGGGGAGCGATTCAGGTTTGGGCCCCCCATCTGGAGAACATGCCTTCCATGCATGCCTCAGGTGCTTAGGTTGTGGTCTTTGGGAGATGGCCCTCAGGCCTCTGCTTGCCCTGAGCCTTCAGGATCTGCAGTCTCTCATCCCAGATGGTCCCAGCTCCTGCCCCTGCCCCTTTCAGATTTCGTGCCAGCCTGCAGGGGCCGCTCCGTCCCACAGGGGTCGTGCCAGCCACGCCCAAGATGCCCAACAACGTGCCAAAACCTCTGAAGTGGAGAGGGGCCATCTCTTACTGGATTTGACAGAATTTTTCCAAGAATTGATTTTTGCTTCTGGATTTTTTGAGAGTATCTTCCTCCTGCCCTCAATTTTGAGGATCTTAAAAATTCTTTGACCCTTTTTCCTTTTTTTGGAGCTTTGGCTCTGGCCCCTAAAACCACACTCCCAAATTCTGTGCCAAATTAACTCCATGCTTCCCAACCAGGCCTGCACTAACGCCCCCTCTAATTACTGTCCTGGGCTCTCTGCATGCCCCTAACTGTCAGTGCCACCCAGGCAGGGCTGAGCCATGCCCGCTTTTGCACTAACTCTATGGGTGCCTCTGTGCCCCTGGCCTCTCCCCTCTAATGCTGCCTCCTTCTTTTCTTGGTGTGGGACCCCAAGGTTTTGATCAGAAAGGAATTGGCAAGAGGGCACAGCTCTACTTTACTCAATGGGGCATTGGCAGGAGGGGTACAAGGGTGGGGGAAATGCTTGGCTGTGGAGCTGCTCAGCCTGAAGAGCCCCTCCCGCTGGAAATGCCTGGGCTGCTGCCTAAGGAGAGTGTGAGATAATCCAAGGAAGCCTCCTGGCAGCTTCCTGCACAGCAGGGGGAAGCTGTCTTCCACCCAATCCAATGCCTGCCCTCTGGAGCCAAGGGGTAAGGAGGCTCAGTTTGGGCATGGCCTTGGAGGGCTTGCACAGGGCCTCTTTGCCAACACAGTGGCCACCCTTTGTACCTTTTCCCTAGAGCTTCCCAAATTCGATACCTCAATTAGAGGATGGGAATGGGTGGCCCCCACTCCTTCCATCCCTGAGCCACCCAGAACACAGGGTATTTTAAAGGCTGACTCTAAGGATGAGGAAGTACCTGGACCCCAGGAACTGGCCTGATCAGGTTCTCCTCTCTGGGGATGGGTAGGGCTGTGGGGTAGAAGGGTGGGGTTGTGTGTGGGGGCCGTTCAGCACAGGGGCTCACTCCCAGGAGTGAAGCTCGGCATTTTAGAAGAAACATGCCTAACTTCAATTCCCATTGACCTGGGATTGCCTGGAGACATGGACTTCACCTTCTTTTGGGGAAGAGACAAGTTATTTGAGGTGGTAGTGATGGTGGTGGTAGTGATGGCGGTGGCGGGGAAGGCTCACTGGGCTTCCCTTCCCAGCCCCCAGCCCATGGCCCAGCTCTGGCTTTGGAATCAGTAATTACAGTTTCTCCTCTGCCTGTCCTTGGGAGGGGTGACTCACCAACTCCTTCCCTCGTCCCCCTTCCCGCCCTCAGAGGTGTCATCTCGCCCCAGACAGAACCATCCTCCTCCTCTCCGTACCCACTCCTAGGGCTCCTATTACCATGGCAACAGGCTGAACTAATTGCAACCCTCATCCCTACTGAAGTTCAGCCTGCAGTGCCCGCAACCCCCACCCCCCAGCCCCCACCCCCACACTGGGCAGAGGGGAGGGAGGCCAAGGGGGTTGGGCTGGGGTTCCCTCCGCTGCACTGCTGTGGCTCTAACATCCCTGGCTCCTGATTCACACCAACCCCTGGATTTAACGCTCACCATCACTGGCCTTTTCCCCAGGGTTACATTTTGGTCTCTGAGCGGTGGTAAAAGGGGAGGAATGGGAGCTCAAGGCTCTGCTTTTGTGATGCGGAACCAGCTTTGGCCTTGACTGGTTTGGAGAGAAAACAGGGCCTTTTCTTAGTACCTAGTTCAAGGGACTGCGAGAGACCAAAATCTCTGCCCCGCCCCGCCCCCACACCTCCGCCTGTGCTTCCCGGTGCCCTACACCCGAGTCCGGTCTTGCCCCTCAGCTCCTGGCCTGGCCCTCTCCCTCCTCACCTCTTTCCCTCCTCACTTTCCCTTTCTACTCTGTTCTTTCTCCTCTCCTGGGTGTTCTCCTCTGTGATTCCTCGTCTTTTTTCCTGCTGTCCCCACCCCGTTCCCGACCCCACGTCTCTCGCCCGCCCTGGCCGCCCTGCCGCCGCGCCCCCTGCCGCCGCCGCCGCGGGCCGGAGTTGAGGAGTGTGTGTTCTCTCTCCCCTGTGCCCCGCCCTCTCCCCCGCCCTCCCGCCTACCAGGAGAGGGCGGAGCTGGCCGCGGGACGGAGGCACCTGGAGGCCCGCCAGGCGCTCTACGCCGAGCTCCAGACGCAGCTCGATAACTGCCCCGAGTCAGTGCGGGAACAGTTACAGGAGCAGCTGAGAAGGGTCAGTTCCACCAGCCCCCCCATCCCCGGCCCCCGCGGGCCACCCGCCCAGAAAGAAGAGAGGAGAGCGGTGGGACGGGACCACCTGGCCCCTGCAGTACCTGCCGGACACCAGGGTCGGTGCTGTGGCTTGGAGGGGACAGGGAAGGTTGGGGGGATCAGCGCTCCAGGCTGTGATGCCCATGAAAGGGGCAAGGCCGAACAGAGCAGAGGAGGTTGGGTGGGGGCAGGTTTCTTCCCCATTTTCCTCGGGCCCAGCCCCCCGCAGCTCATGCCCCTGTGGCCTGGCCTTCCGGGCCCAGAGTGGAATTGGTAGCACCACCCAACCCCCTTTGTCGCTGTTGTTGAAGGAGGCAGAGGCCCTGGAGACAGAGACAAAGCTCTTCGAGGACTTGGAGTTCCAGCAGCTGGAGCGGGAGAGCCGCGTGGAGGAGGAGCGCGAGCTGGCCGGCCAGGGGCTGCTCCGGAGCAAGGCTGAGCTGCTCCGCAGCATCGCCAAGAGGAAGGTGTGCCCCGCCCCGTGCCCTGCCGCGTGGCACGCAGCGCTACCCAGGCAGTTGGAGGCAAAAGACCTGGGTTTGAATCACAGTCGATGGCCTCACAAAAGTTAACTTCACCTTTTTGTGCCTCAGTTTCCTCATCTGTAGTGAGGAATAATGAGAATTATTAATATAACGGACTGTTGTGAGAATTAAACAAGATGTAAAGACAGAATAGGATATGACTGTAGTAAGCACTTAGTGAAAGATAGCTATTATTATTAAGCCCTTACTCCCCTCAGTCTTCTGGTGGAAAGTGAATTCAGTTTTCTTTTCTTTTTTTTTTTTTTTTGAGACAGGGTCTCACTCTGTTGCCCAGGCTAGAGCGCAGTGGTGCTATCATAGCTCACTGCAACCTCAAACTCCTGGGCTCAAGCGATCCTCTTGCCTCAGCCACCCAAGTAGCTGGGACTAAAGGCGCCCACCACAATGCCTGGTTAATTTTTCTATTTTTAGCAGAGACAGGGTCTCACTCTTACTCAGGCTGGTCTCGAACTCCTGAGCTCAAGCGATCCTCCCACCTCGGCCTCCCGGAGTGCTAGCATTACAGACGTAAGCCACCTCGCTGGCCTGGAAAGCGGATTCAGATCACATTTGGAGCTGGGCACCAGGGGGGCAGGAAAGTGAAAGGTGGAGATAGAGGAGGAGGAGGAGGCTTGCCCTGCCCTTGCACAGCTCTCTGTCTGATGGTAGTGCTGGGCCTCAAAGACTTGACATCTGGATATTAGAGCCAGCCAGGGGCCCTAGAAAGAGGATCCACCTGGTTGCAGCCCTGCCTCAGCTCTGGCTTGGCTGAGCTATACAACAAGGGGGTTGGGTATTGTGTCCTGGCCAGCTATGATGCTAGGTCCTGGGTCTATTTGCTCCTGATCTCAGCCAGATCAGGCACAGACGGTTACAGGATGATATGGGAGGTGTATGAGTGTGGAGGTAGGGAGGAAAGTCAGGAAGAATGTGCTAGCAAGGATTAGGAAGGTGGGGAGGAGGATGGGGTGATGACCCAAGCAGTGCATGCACCTATGGCTGAGACGTGTATCCATGTACATATGTACATACCTGTGCAGTTTGCCTGGCTGGAGTGTGTGGGAGGTGAGAGCAGTGAGATCAGGGGAGGGGTGTCCAAAAGTGGGGAGTTGGAGGATTTGCTGGCTAGCCAGGGTTGGTGGTAAGTAGGGAGCCTCTGAACCTCCCTTGAGTCCACATCCCTCGCTCCTTTCCCTGAGCTGCTCTGCCATGCAAATGCATCCACTTTCTGGATGTCAGGCTGCTTGTTGAAAGGAAGGAAGAAAACTGACATTTCCCAAGCACATGGGTGTGTGCCAGGCGCCCTGCCAGGAGGCTTCCTTGGATTATCTCATGTTGTCCTCAGGATGGTCTCACAAGGCAGATGCTCTTATCTCCATTTTATAGACAAGGAAACTAGGGCTAGTAGCTATATACTTACCCAAAGCCTCTTAGCATATAAGCTTCAGAGTCACAGTTAGAACCCCCAAATCCCATGTTCCTTCCACTCTACTGCACTGGGGCTAGGGGCTGGCACTTCTCCAGCCTTTTCCTCTTTCCTCTGGAGGGAATGCAGCAGGGAGCCTTAGAGCAGCTAATCTCATCCCTTTGAGGTCCTGGAAGGTATAAGCTCCAGGGATTTTGGGAGAGGACAGCAGTAGTGGACTCCTCTTCTCACGCCCACCCTGGCCCCTGGGAAAATGGAGCTCAGCCCCTGAGACTTGGGAGCGGGGTGTCACATTCTTCCTCATGCTCCTCCTCATGAGTCTTGCCCAGCTTTCATCCCCCAGCCCCCAGCATCCCACCCTAGCCTTTGTCTGCCTGGTGCCCTGTGCTCCCCTCTCCTCTCCACCTCATTCAGAGTGGTTCAGATTACTGGCCTCGGAGTCCAATAGATCTGATTCTTTTTTTGAGACAGTGTCTCACTCTGTTGCTCAGGCTAGAGTGCCGTGGTGTCTGCCTAGCTCACAGCAACCTCGAACTCCTGGGCTCAAGCGATCCTCCTGCCTCAGCCTCCCAAGACCCCATCTCTACAGAAAACAAAAAAAAATTAACTGGGCATGGTGGCGTGTGCCTGTAGTCCCAGCTACTCAGGAGACTTAAGTGAGAGGATCACTTGAGCCCAGGAGTTTGAGGTTACAGTGAGCTATGTTCACACCACTATACTGCAGCCTGGGCAACAGAGTGAGACCCAGTCTCTAAAAACAAAATTATTTAAGCAATATTTCTTTTTAGAAAGTAATTTTTCCGGGTGCAGTGGTGTGTGCCTGTAGTCCTAGCTACTCAGGAAGCTGAGGTAGGAGGATCACTTGAACTGAAGACTGCAAGACCAGCCTGGGTGACATAGCGAGACCTTGTCTCTAAAAAAAAAAAAAAAGAAAAAAAGAAAGAGAATTTTTTCTTTTTAGAAAAATTAGGAAACTCAGGTAAGCAAACGAACCTCAAGACCATTTTAGAGAGATATTTTGTAGCAATGTGCAGTGGATCAGAAAGTTGAGAGAGTAGAAGCAGAGGTTGATGAGAAGTTCAAGGCCAAGAAGTAGAGGGCCTGGGTTTGGGTGGAGGGATGGAGGGGATGGGGTGGGTTGAGAACTATTCAGTGTTTCTAGGCTTTGGGACCCATGGCTATGGGGTGAGGGAAGGGAGATTTGGGGATTTGGGTGCTGACTAGTGTGCCTGGTGGCACAGGGGTCACTGGTGAGGGGAGGAGCCTGAGTTGTCCTGGGGTGAGTTGAGGCTGAGTGGAAGAGCTGGTTGATTCCCTTCACCTGAACCTTGGGTCTCTGGGCAGGAGAGTCAGCCAAGCCTCACCTTGGGCTCAGCCCTGTGTCCCCAGGGCTGACCGACCACCCCATCTCCTCTAGGAGCGCCTGGCAGTTCTGGACAGTCAGGCTGGGCAGATCCGGGCCCAGGCCGTGCAAGAGTCCGAGCGCCTGGCCCGTGACAAGAATGCCTCCCTGCAGCTGCTGCAGAAGGTAGCATCCCTCAGGTTGGGCTTGGGGGTCCGGGAGTAGGGTGAGTGGGAGGGGAGTGCGAAAGGGCTGGGGTGGAGATTTGCTAGCAGCACAGGGGCCCACCTCATGTGGTCTCCTGTCCTCACTCCCACTCCTCTCTGACTCTCTACCACCCTGGGCGCACAGGAGAAGGAGAAACTGACTGTGCTGGAAAGGAGATACCACTCGCTGACAGGGGGCAGGCCCTTCCCGAAGACCACATCGACCCTCAAAGAGGTAACACGGTTGGGCAAGCCCAAGCGTTAGGCCCAAGGGCTGTCCTGGGAAGCTCTGGAGCAATACGTGGCACTTTTACCCCTGGGTCCTGAACTGGGTCCTGATCCTCAGCGGGCTCTTGGAAGGCCTTCCCTGGACTGCTTCGCCTGGTCCCAGCCCAGGGCAAACCCAGGGCCTTTAGAGTGTGCTGGGGCTGAGTTTGAGTACGGGGGCATCTTCCTGAACTGGAGAGATTTGAGGAGGAATGGCCTTGAGATCTGGGATTTGACCTTCCCTGGCTACCAGCTGCTGCTTTTTAATTGCCTTTTGGGCTCCTGAGAGCCCACTGATCTCACTATTTTGGGTGGCTGAATATATGTGGGGGTGCTCAGGGGCCTGGGTGGGATGGGTGGACAGCTCAGAGGTTTGGTAGGTGTCAGGGCTGGGTGGACTCACCTTGACGGGGAGCAGAGGGATCTGGGGGTGCTGGTCCTGGGGCTCCTGGGCTTCAGTCTGGAGCCAGGCTTCTATTTCAGAAGGGGGCACTGAGACCCCTTAAGTGGTTCTTCCCAGGTCTGCAAGCCTGGTGTGTGAAGTCCAAGTTAAGACATGCCGAGTTTCTTGACCTCTTCGCCTCCCTCCCTGCCTCACTTACACGGCAGTTTAGGCCTGGGGGAGGGGGGCTGGGCTGAGTGTGAGGGGTACGGCCCCTCACCACGTGCCCTCTCTGTAGGCTGAACTGCTCATCTCCGAGTCCTCAGGGATGGAGCTGGGGACTAAGGCTCCGGGCCTATTTCCAGGGTCTTCTCAGGCTGGGGCATCCTCTTTCTCCTTAACCCCACCTACTTCCACTCTACTCTGTCCCAAAGCACAAGAGGTAACCATAGCTAACTGCGTGCTCTGCTTTGCCCACTGCCTGCCCGTTGAGCTCCTGCCCACAGCTCCTCCTAGGGCCCAGCTGAAGGGCATGTGGCGATAATCCTTTGGCTGGCTGGAGTTTGGGAGAGTGTGTTTGCGCTATTCTGCCGTTCCATAGCGTGCCTGGGCAGCCTGTGCAAAGTCAGAGCGTTGATCTGCATATTAATTTGCCTGTATTCTGCATGTCATTCATCAGTTCTCACAACATGCTGGACCCTTTGGCTCATTTTCCTTTTCTGTGACCCCTCAGAGGACAATCTGGTTCTGGAGCTAGGTCTGGATGGGCCCCCGGCACAGGGCAGGCTTAGGATCCTGTGCTTTGATTCAGCATGCGTTGTGGATGTCTGCAGTGCTCCCAGCACCTAGCTAAGCTCGGATTCTAAGGCTATGTGATGAATATGACAGTCCCTGGCCTCCCAGTCCACATTCAGTTGTGCTGGCATCTTTCCAAGGACTTACCTTGGGCAGTGTGACTGGCCCATTTTTCTGCCAGGCTTTTAGCTGCTCCTTGCTAAGCCCTCTTTCTCAGAACCCATCTTGCTCAGGCCCGGGTGACGTCTCTGCCTCCCCTACCCGTTTCCAGCTCCTGCCCTGGCAGATGGGGTACAAGGGACACTGGGGAATGACATGATTGGTGCTCAGTGCTGCATGTGTGTGCCCCACTGGGGATGCCCAGGGCCCAGGGCGTTGGAGACGAGTGGGTCTCTGGGAGCTGCATCCTGATCCTCAGCGGGCTCTTGGAAGGCCTTCGCTGGGCTTCTTCGCCTGCCCCCAGCCCAGGGCAAACCCAGGAATGGGCCTTTAGGGTCTGCTGGGGCAGACACTGGATGCTAAGGGGGCTCCCAAAGTGGAGGTCAGAAGGAGCCTTCATTCAGAACGTCAGTTCTGACCACCCTTTCCTGGTCCCTGCTACTCCCACAGCCATCTATAGCCATAGTGGGCAGCTGAATGCCCCATTCCTGCTCCGGATTTTGTATTGACATGGAGTGATGGCCCTGTGGCCTGGCTTGGAGTGTGGGGTATTGGGTACCTGGATGAACCTGTTAACCTCTTCTCTGCCCATCCCTCCCCTTCTCACTGGGCGCCCTAGGAATATGTGAGCCTGGCAGAGGTTCTCCAGCTGTGCTCCCACTTGGACCCCTATGCTTCTGCCACCTCCCCCAGTGTGCTCACCCAGCCCCTGCCTGACAGCGAGGTACCAGCCACCGAGGGTGCCCATAGCTCCTAAGGGCCTGCTTGTGGATGCCTTAGATTCCCTCCTGGGCCTGGGTGAAGGTGGGACAGCAGGGTCTGTCTTCAACAGTGAGAAAGAAGGGCAGCTGGCATACAGGGGGATCAGGAGTGGTTCCCTTTCTTCCCTGGGGCCTTGGGAGCTTCCTTTAGCTCTTCACAGCTTTGGGAGGGCCGGGCCTTCTGCTCTGGAATGAGGGCCTCATGCTGAGAGGACTCTGGCTCTCCTGGCCTCGTGGGCTCTGCAAGCCTCTGCTCCGTGCTTCCTACCCTATCCTTCCCCTCCCCCTTGGGCAGGGCCACCTCTTGCCTTCCAGCCCCATTAACGTCTTGTATTCCCTCCTGCGCTCGGCCTTGCCCCAAGTACGTGACGCTTGAGCAGCTAAAGGTGACGTGGGGCACCTCGCCCATGCACCCAGCCCCTGCGCCAGGCCTGCCTCCCTGGGCCTCTGCCTCCCGGGACCTGGCTCCCACCACCTGCCTTCCTCCCGCGCTGCCCTCCTCCTCCTCCTTCGCTTCCATCACGCCTTTACCCAAGGTTGGTGGTCTGTGAGTTCGTGCCACCCCTGCCCGTTGACTGGTGTGCTCTGTGCGTGTTTGGCTTCTGCTGACGTGGCCTCTCGGCCCTAGGCCAGCTCCAGGGCAGTGCTCGGGGCCTGCGGCTCTGGCTGGAGGCTGGTGTCATGGCCAGCATACCCGTGTCTGTGGTCTGGGAGTTGTACCCTGACTGTTTCTCTTTGCCCTTAGGATGTTCTGGGCAACTGTTGTCTCACTGTTTTTCTCTTCCTTTTCTTTATACTCTCTCTCCCCTCCTTCCTCCCCTTCTTCCCTCACCTTCTGTCCATTTCCCTGATGTGGCCCTCCTTTACCCTTCCTCCAACCTTCCCCTTCCTTCTTCCTCCCTTCTCCTGCCTTTTCCTTTCCCCCCATTTCCTGGCCTTTCCTCTCCATCCTTCCCCTCTTGTCCCCTGGCCCCCTCCCCATCTCCCCCTCCAGATGGAGAAGCTGCTGCTCCCTGCTGTAGACTTAGAGCAGTGGTACCAGGAGCTGATGGCCGGGCTGGGGACTGGCCCCACTGCAGCCTCCCCTCGCTCCTCCCCCCCGCCTCTGCCTGCCAAAGCTTCCCGTCAGCTGCAGGTAACCCCTCCTTCACTGCCCATCCGCCCCAGTCCTTGCTGCTGTCTTCTCTGAGTATTTCCTGCAGATCCACCAGCCACACAGTGCCGCCTTGGGTATGGGAGCCCATCCAGGGCAGTGAGGGGAACTCTGGGCCCTGAGAGGGCAGTGAAGGAGTGAAAGTCTCTCCATGGGCTGCCATCCTGGCACTTTGGGTGGTTGGAAGGCCAGCCCCCTGAGTCCAAGAATGACATGATTGTCTTCTAGAAGTGGGTGGCTTCTAGAGCCATGGTCATGTTGAGATCTGTTTGGTACCCTGTGCTGAGCTAGGTTGTGAGTCTGTTCTATCCTTGGCAGCCCCCAGCCCCAGAGCCTCTTACCCAGTTTGGGGGCCTGACACATTCTTGGGCTTGTTGCAACTGGAACTATCTTGTCCTGGGAGAACTGCCAGTATTTTGTTCTCCTGGTCTCCCCAGGGGTAACACTTGGAGGCAGAAAAGAAGGGGACAAAGACTCTGAAGTGACAGCCCTGAGGATGTGCCCAAGCCTCTTCAGAGTTGCCATGGAGGGCGTGGGCCTACCTGAGCCTGCATCAAGCAGTGACTGTGAGGGTGGGGAAAGGGTGCTAAGATAGTCTCAAGTTTCACTCCACTGACCTGCTGTAGTGCCTGACATTCTACCTTTCGAGATTCATACCTTTAGCCAGGTGTGATGGTGTGTGCCTGTTGTCCCAGCTACTTGGGAGGCTGAGGCAGGAGGATTGCATTTTACAGATTGAATACTGGGGCCTGGAGAAGATAAGTAATCTTCCCAAGGTCATAGCTGGGAAGTAGCAGAGCTTATGCCGAGAGTCAGGGTTCTTAACTCCAAAGACCATATTCGCTGTACATTAGTGCTGCAGGGGAAATTGTCAGTTATTTAGTCTAGTTTTACCCTCTTCTTTTGCAGATAAGGAAGCCAAGGCCCAGAATGGGAGGTGCATGGCCCAAGGTCATTCAGTGGCAGAGCTGGGACCAGGGGGAAGCTGGCCTCCACTTGGTCTCCTACATACTCTGCCTGACTGACATTAACTCCTTGCATGGGTCTGTTTACAGGTCCTTTCTGAGGCGGGCAGGGTTGGGCCAGGGATTAGCCCAGAGAGGAATAGCCTGGAAAGGAGACTTGGCAGCTACCAATAGCATCTGCCCATTGGGCTGGCCCAGGAGGCTCAACCCTGTTGTTAGATACAGCCAGAAAGCCTCAGCGGCCTGGTGCCAGGGCAGTATCTTGGATCACAGCCAGCCTAGGTGACATGGGGGTGGCGGCCAGTGGGAGAGCCAGAGGTCACTGGGCACTATCATTTCCCTCTAGGTTTACCGGTCCAAAATGGATGGTGAAGCTACTAGCCCTCTGCCTCGGACCCGCAGCGGCCCCCTCCCCTCCTCCTCAGGCTCTTCTTCCTCCTCCTCCCAGCTCAGCGTGGCTACCCTGGGCCGTAGCCCCTCCCCAAAGGTCTGAGGACAGGGGTGGGGCTGCATGTGTGGTGGGGGCTGGAGAGGCCAAGGCCATCCATGAAAGCCTTGGGGGTGGGGGTGGAGTCTTCTGAGCCCAGGTTCCAATGCTCCATTCCGTCTGCAGAGTGCTCTACTCACCCAGAATGGCACGGGCAGCCTTCCACGCAACCTGGCAGCTACACTGCAGGACATTGAGACCAAGCGCCAATTGGCTTTGCAGCAGAAGGGTGAGTGGCTGCAATGCCAGCCCACCTGCTCTCCGGGGGGACCCTGGATAGTTGCCATTCCTCCCCCATGCCTCATCCATGCCGATGCCCCACACCTTCACCAGATGTTTTTCCTTTAATTGGGATCACGGCAAGAGCAGAAAGGATTTCGATTGGACACCTAAAGAAGAGCCTCCCGGATATATATCAGAAGACACCAGGACAGGAGACTAAGGGCCTGGGAGGCTGTGCCGTTTTCTTTCCTAGAGAGCATAGCAAATAAGGGAAATGCTTGTTGACCTGAGTAGGGTTACACATTGCCCTGTCTGGAGGCAGGGGAATGAATTTGATGACCTCCAGAATTGGTTTGCTGAGATACTGGCTCTGGGGACCCAGGAGTCCTTGTTGCTTGTGTGCAATTTGGTTGTTTTGAAAGTCCATGTCTGTGCCTCTCTCTCCTCTCATCCCTTCTGTGTGTCTCTACCGTACCCTCTGCCCGGGGCCCCCCACGCCAGTCGAGTCGCTTCCTGCCGAGCCCCTCCCAACTGACGACCCAGCAGGTAGAGCGTTGACCACAGAGGGCATTGCTTTGGCCAGGCAGCCCTTGCCTGGCATCAGCATGATGTGTCCTGCCCAGGCCGCCACTGCCTGCAGGCAGGCTCCCAGGCTGAGCTGGTTGGGGTGTCCGGCTGGCCTCACCCCTCCGGCTGACCTCTCTCCTGCCTTCAGCTGTGTTCTCCCTGTGTCCCCTGCCTTATTTCCTGCTTTTGCTGCTCTTGCTTCTGCACTGCAGGGGGCTCTGCATTGGCGTCCTGGGTGCTCTTGGGGCTTCCTCCATCTCTTCTTTCTCCCTTCCCCAGCTGGCAGGGTGGGTGCATGTGTCCTGCCCAGCTATTTAGGCCTCAGCTGTGGGCTCGAGCCACCTGGCTGTCACACTTCCAGGGCACTACCTGGGCGGGTTTGGTGCCCTGTATGGGCTCAGGATGTGGAAAGAGCACTGAAGCCAGACTGTGTGGCTGTGGCTGATTGTGCAGGCGACTGAAGTATTGGCAGGGCAGCTGGCTGGGAGCTGAGGGTGGGTGAGGGGGCTGCTCTGTGTTAACCTCTCCCTGCTCACCTCCTCCCTCTCTCTGTGATGTTGCCAGTGTCTCCCCTCCCCCTGGTGGGTGGGAATCCCACTGTGACTCCCACCTGTCCCTCCTGCAGGCCAGCAGGTGATTGAAGAGCAACGGCGGCGACTGGCTGAGCTGAAGCAGAAAGCAGCGGCCGAGGCGCAGTGCCAGTGGGATGCCCTCCATGGGTCTGCGCCCTTCCCAGCAGGCGCCTCGGGCTTTCCTCCACTCATGCACCACTCCATCCTACACCACCTGCCGGCTGGGCGGGAGCGTGGGGAGGAGGGCGAGCACGCCTACGATACGCTGAGCCTGGAGAGCTCAGACAGCATGGAGACCAGCATCTCCACGGGGGGCAACTCGGCCTGCTCCCCTGACAACATGTCCAGGTACCTCCCCACACCTGGGCCCACTGCCTCCACCAGCTGCTCCTGGGCTCCTTGATGTGCCCCCTCTTCCCCTTCTCTCCCCAGTGCGAGTGGTCTGGACGTGGGGAAGATTGAGGAGATGGAGAAGATGTTGAAAGAGGCTCATGCAGAGAAGAGCCGGCTCATGGAGTCAAGGGTGAGGCTGAGCTGGACCAGAGAGGCAGAAGGTGGGGAGTGGGGGGAGCAGAGCTGCCCGCTGCCTGCCAAGGGCCTCACTCCACCCCAAGCCCTTCCACCCACATTAGCCTTGCAACCTTCCCTCGGGATAGAAAGTGTTTAAAAGGTTGTGTTCCTCAAATGGGCATAGGGAGGCTTGGGGAGATTACAAGTTCACAGCTCTTAGGAATAGAGAAGGCAGCACAGTAACCGTTGTCCAAGCAAGAATTTCCTGTACGGAAACTTTCAGTCTCTGTGAGTTTATTTCTGTGGACTTTGCTCTTTGGCAACCACAGGAATTTTGATTCCTATCTACCTGTGTGGCAGGTCACTTGTCTTGGGCACGGTTGGGAAGAGCAGGAACTGAGGGTTGAAGTCTAGACAGAAGAGGAGGCAGATTCCAAGCCGGAGCAGAGGTGTTGGCTGGGGAGCCTTGGGGAGCAGAGGGGGCTGAGAGAAGTCACAGCTCCTTCACGTGGGCACGGAGCTGGGACTTGGCAAAGAGTGACCTGTGGTTTATCCTGGGCATAGGCAGGCTGAGGAAATCTGTGCCTGGGCAGGAGGTTAAACGAAGGATCTGCAGAAGATGTTCTGTGTCCACCATGCGAGCCACTCTGCATCTCTTGAGATGAAAATGGGACCTCAGCAGCTGGAGGGATTTTTTTTAAAAAGTACTAACCATTTGAATGGAGGACCAACCAGAAAAGAATGCCTCTTATCTTACATCAAAGTATGGCAGATTTATAAGACTCTCTTGGCAAATGGAGGAAAAGGAGATTGTGTTAAGTTTTGTGCTGGAAAGGAATGGCAAGCGGGAGTTAACGGCGTAGAGGTGTTTATCGTTGATTAGGACACTTAAAGCACCACTCACATGCTCTGTATCTAATGATTTGTTTTAATGACCTTTAAAATCCTTTCATAATGGCTTTTATAAGTTCAATTGTGTCCTTAGTCTCCAATCATATTTTTTTTCTCCATCAAGTTTGAAGTTCAACAGCAAATGTTTCTAATTTGGAGTTTCAAAGGGCCTTAAGTTAGTGATTGGGGAAGGACTACTGAATATATTAGCTGTCAAGCTGTGGAGTTGTATAGACAATCCATGTTCTGAGAACTCAGATAACATTGTGAGAGCTGCATTTATTTATTGAGTACTTCTTTCCTGCTGGAATTGGCGATGGTTATTTATACATATGATCTCATTTAATTTTCACTATAATCCCAGGAATGGGCATTCTTAACTTCATTTTACAGATGAGGCGACTGAGGCTTAGAAAGTTTAAATGCTTTTTGTCAGGGTCACAGAGCCAGCCCATAGTGGTGGCAGAGCCAGGGTTTGAAGGCAGGACAGTCACACATTTTTAAGTCATTTATCGGTAACCAGCAGAGTTCTTGGGAGGGTGGGCTTTGCAGGTGATGCCTCCTCATGCGAGACTACCACCTGAGGTGGGGGCCTCCTGCAGCTCTGCCCAGGTCTGAGGAGGGCTGGTTGTGGGGAGAGGGTGGCTGTGGGCACTGACCCTAGCTTTGGGGGCAGGAGCGGGAGATGGAGCTTCGACGGCAGGCCCTGGAGGAGGAGCGGCGGCGGCGCGAGCAGGTGGAACGGAGGCTGCAGAGTGAGAGTGCCCGGAGGCAGCAGCTGGTGGAGAAGGAGGTGAAGATGCGGGAGAAACAGTTTTCCCAGGTGAGGGTGTGGTGGGGAATGGTGGTGGTTGGCTTGAGCGTGAGGGCTGTGGAGGAGTAGGGAGATCCCAGGGTTCCTTTGCTGGGCTGTAAAATCCATGCTACTCCAGAAAGGACTGCTGTTGGCTTAGCACAAGTAGAATTCTACCTGGGACTCCCTGGCCCCAAGAAACAGACCCACCGGGGCCTGTTAAAGCTTGTGTGTGTGTGTGTGTGTGTTGGGGTGGGTGGGTCATGAGAGGTGGCCACCTTGCAGACATCTGGGGTCAGAGGAGAGGGTCTGAACAGGCCTCCCAGAGATGGGAGCTGAGAGTCAAGAACCAGGCGGCTCCCCTCAGCCTCTCTGCAGGGCCTCTTGTCTGCTTCATGAGCCTTCTCGTGCGACTCCGCAGCATCCTGGCCCTCACCCCACAGGTCCTTTCAGCTCCGGTCCCCACCATCAGTGGATGACCTCACTCTAACCTTTGGTTTACAGCTCTAAGAGAGAATTGTACTAGTTTTTCCTTAGGACAGAAATCCCTCCTTGCACAAAAACCAGCCCCCTCCTTTCTCCTTAAACAGGAGACTTGAGCAGAACAGTTGAAGGTAGGAGAAATTGGGTAGGGCAGGGAAATCTGCCCATGTCTCTGGTCCCAGATCCTGGCCCCCTCATGGAACTATAGGACTCAGAAGGGCTTCGAATTGAGTCTCCATAGGCTTCCCCAGGGTGGGGGTCCCCTGGGCCCCCCCTCCAACAGTGAGCAGTGATCACAGCTCCATCATTTTCTATGATGCAGCAACATAAATTCTAAGGAGTAGGTCACCTTAATTGGGTTTGGAAATTAAAAAATGAGAAATTTCCAATCTGTCTCCCTGGATCTAAAAAAAAAAATGAGAAACTCTGAGTTCTACCTCTGTGGTTGGAATATTTGTCAAATGGCTAGTTCCCCTTTCCTGCCTCAGTCAGTGACCGCTCTGGGGCCCCCCAGTCCTGAGGCTCAGGCATTGTTGCAGGGGCCACCAGCATCTGATGTGAGAGGTGGGTGGAGTCAGTTCATCTTTGGGGTTGCATGTTTTGGTTTTTCTTTAAATAATTTGTGATGTTTCCTTTCTTGCCATTTTAGTGTTCTTTTGGGGAAAGGAAGAGTAGAAAAATATTCCAGCTGACTGAGAATTCCAGTTAGTATCAGAGGTGGAATAGAGCTTAGTAGTTATGTAGTTCAAAGCTCTTGTTTGGCATGTAAGGAAACTGAGGCCTAGAGAAGGGATGTGAGGATGCGGTCCCAGTAGGAAGTCAGAGACCAGATTTCTTATCGGACATCTCTTCCCAGAGCATGTTCACATCTGGCCTCTTGCTTTAGTCTGTTCAGCCCAGAAGGGGGAGGGCCAAGACAAGGATGGCTGTGTCTCGATCAAAGGTGGGAAAACTGAGGTGCGGAGCCACTTAGCAGTTTGCCTAGGCCTGGGAAGAGTCAGCACTGGCGTTCAGCCCTCCACTTTTGCCATAAACCCTGTGAAATCAGAGTGACAGCCTTGGGGGTCAGGAGGGGGTGGTGTCAGGCTACTTGAGGTTCAGGACCAAAGCCCAGGGGCCTGGACAGGGGAATGATGGGGGAAGACAGGAGACTGTGTTGACCCTGCCTTCTGCCCCCAGGCACGGCCCCTGACCCGCTACCTGCCAATCCGGAAGGAAGACTTTGACCTGAAGACCCACATTGAGTCGTCAGGCCACGGTGTCGATACCTGCCTGCACGTGGTGCTCAGCAGCAAGGTGCACGCACGCATGGCCCCCGGGTGCTGGGCGATGGAGGGCCCCCTGGTCAGAGGCACCTCCTAGGCCCTCAGAGTAGGGGCCTTGGTTCCTGCCCTAACCTAACCAGGTCTTTGTCCCAGGACCTGATGTGCTGGCCTGAAGAGGTGTTGGGGACAGCCTCCCCCCTCCCCTCCAAATACAGGCACAGGCAATGGCACACGCTTAAGGTTTAGGGCTGTGCCTGTGGGTCCTTCCTTACTCCTGCTTCCCACCAGGTCTGCCGTGGCTACTTGGTCAAGATGGGTGGCAAGATTAAATCATGGAAGAAGCGCTGGTTTGTCTTCGACCGCCTCAAGCGTACCCTTTCCTATTACGTGGGTGAGTTCCCACAAGGCCATCCCCGGAGTCAGCCAGAGCCAGGGCCCCTGGGCTCTGTCACCCAGGACAGCTGGTTTTCTAGAAGGAGGCCAAGCTTCAAGTAGGGGGCCAGAGGTTTGGGCTGGGTCGTATGCTTCCCTCCCAGAGTGTACCTGGTTTACCTCCATTTATGTGTTTACCTCCATTTCATTCAGCTATATTACAGAGCATCTAGTAAGTTCCAGGCACTGTTCTAGGCTCAGCTGATAGGCAAAATGGCCACAGCTCTCTCTCGGACCTTATTGTCAGGAAGGGTCTCCATAGGCTGAGTTAAAAGAAGGCACAATGGGTATGTTGATGGGAGTCGCCTGGACGCTCTAGGGCATGGGGTGGTCCTATGGTCTGGGTTGGGCTAGGGACTCTCCCTTGGACAAATTCCCTCAGAGACTCCAAGACAAGCAATTGAGTATTGCCAAGGAGCGCTCAGGACAGCCCAGGGACAGTCTGGCTGGCCTATCCTGCTCCCTCAGCTCTCTCCACTCCAGCCTCCAGCTTAGTTTCCCATTCCTGGAACTCCCTCCAGGTAGCTCGATCGAGATGCTGTGTGATACCCTAGTCAGGAGAGGCTTGGATGTGCTTCATTAACAACCAGTTCTAAAATCCCGGTGGCTTAAAACCACAAAGTTTCCTTTCTTACTCCCGATACATGTCTGTTGTGCATTGTAGGTTGGTGGGGGCTCCCCCCCATATCAGGGCTGTCTTTGCTTCAGAGCACAACTTTCTGGAACATTGCTGGCCACAGCGGCAGAGTGAAAAGAGAGGCTTAAGCGAGCCTTGCATTGGCATTAAATGCCCCAGCTGGGAAGTGACACACATCATGTCTGTCCACAAGTCACTGGTGGGACTGTCTGCCAGTCATACAGCCCTCCACCCCCACCCCTCAGCCCCAGAGCTGGGAAGAGGAATCCTACTGGGAGCCTGGAAGGGGGAAAGGGATGCAGAGTTTGGTGCCAGAGATGCTCAGGCCTGGAGTGCCTGCTTCCCCCTCTAACGTGGTCTCTGATCAAGTGCCACCCACTCCGAGAAGCCTTCCCTGACCACCCTGGGTCCTGGGTGTGGGGAGGCAGAGGCACAGGTGTCCCCATGCTTCATTCTGGGCTGGGAAGGTGGAGGGACTGTCTGGAGAGGAAGAAATAGGCCTGGGGAAGAGAGCAGCATTGTAGGCATGTTGAGGTTGAAATGCCTCTCGGACATCAAGGTTTAGCAGAAAGGTCAGGATCAGAGGGAGAGTCATAGTTGAGTCTGTTGGAACAGTAGTAGTAATGATAATAATAGCAGATCATATTTCTCGAGTGCTTGTATGAGCCAGGTACTGTGCTAAAAGCACTCTACGTGCACCGTCTCATTTAATCTTTTAATAATCCTATGAGGGAAGCACTATCTTAATGCCATTTTACAGATGAGGAAAATGAGGCTCAGAGAGGTTAAATAAATTGCCCAAGGCCTCACAGCTCCTATGAGGCGGGGCTAAGACTGAACCTGGGCAATTAGACTTCACAGCAGAGAAGAGGGGAGGGAGAGGGCTGCACCCTGGGCAGGCCTGCCCATGTGGGGAAAGAGGAAGAGGAGACAACAGCAAAGGGAGAAGGAGCAGGGGCAGGAAGCCAGCACTGACCATGTGCCAGGTGCTGGGCCGGCGCTCGGCACATGTGACCTTACTTCATGTCTGTGGAACAAAAGGAGACCAAGTTCAGATGGCAGGCTTGGGGATGGGGGCGGAAACAGGGAAGGAAGCCAGCCAAAGGAGCAGACATTTGCAAGTGGGAGGTGTCAGCAGCGATGATGGATGCTGCAGATTCGCCAAGAATGATGTGGCCCAAAGGCGATTAGATTCAGGGATGGGAGCTTGTCAAGAGAAGCGTTCCGCTCTGCACAGGGCAGGAGCCAGATTGCACAGGACCCAGAGTAGGCGGGCGGTAAGGAAGCAGAGGCAGGAATGTGTTACTATTGCCAGTGAGGGAAGGGATGGGAAAGAACAGGGGCTGGAGGGCTGACCAGGCCCAACCCCAGGGCAGGCTGGGTCCTTGTCCCAAAGAGGAAATGTCAGAAAATGGGCCTGTGGCTGGATCAGGGTCCTGGTGTGACCAGCCTGTTCCACCTGGACCCTCCTCCCACCTACTTGACGGAAAGCCCCTCACTGCACAGGATTCACGTCAGATACTACCTCCGTGAAGCCTTTCCTGGCCCCTACTCACTAGGAGTGGTTCCTGCCCTCCTCTGAACTCTTGCATTATCCAGGGGCCGTTCTGTCATGGGACATCGGCTCAGGGGCATAATGATATAATGACAGATGCCACATGTTATGTGCCAGACACTGTGCTAAATACTTCGAGTGTGTTCTCTCGTTTAATACTCATGACAACCTGTGATATGGAGGTGCTCTCGTGGAGTTCCTACCCACGCCTGAGGTTACACAGCTAGTAAACAGGCCGTGTGTCTCTACTTTCTTCCCCTCTAGATGGTAGGTTCCTGAGAGAAGGGTCTCTGACTTCTCTCTGGATCCTCGTGCCTAGGACTCATTCATTCAGCACTGATGGAGCACCTACTGTGTGCTGGGCGCATACTTGTTGCTGTTGGGGGAGGCAGACCTATGGCTGGGTAAAGGAGGATTCAGATTCAGCATGATGAGTTCTGTACGGAGGAGCATCCGTGCTGTGGGAGCACAGGGAAACACAACCCCGCACTGTAGTGGGGACATTTACACTGGGTCTTGAAGATTGCTTAGGAGTTTGCCAAGGGAATTGGCCAAAGGAGACCATTCTAGTGTATAAAGAGTGTATTGTTAAGGGAATGGTGAGAAGCTCAGCCTGGCTGGATAGAACTCAGGTTTGTGCAGGGGACAGTTGTGAGACAAGCCTCGAGCGCTGTGTTGGCACCAGTCTGTAAATGGCCTCTGCCAAGCCAAGGAGGTGGGGAGAGGAGGAGCACACGGAGAGGAGTTTGCTTCTAGCTGGCACCATTGGGTTTAGTGGTTGGCATGACCTCTCCTGTCGGACTCAGGCTCACTGTTAAGGAAAGGATGTCAGTTAATTTGCCCTAATCCCTCCTGCCACCCCTGCCCCCAGGTGCTATATGCTATATGTACGTGCTAACTGCCATATACGTCGAAGAAGTGTGCTTCCTTTCTTTTTTTTAATATTAGGTAAATATATTCATATGGCTCAAAAATAAAAATATATAAAAAGGTTTACATTGAGAATTATGCCCCCACATGCTACAGATAACCACTTTTATTAATCTCTTGTGTATCCTCTAGTTCCTGTAGGAGAATATAAACAAATGCAAACATATATTCTTACTCCTTTTTCTTACACAAAAGGTGGCACACAATACATTCCTTGTTTACCTCCAAATGTGTCTTAGAGATATTCCTATATCAAATATTTCTATATCTAGATATTTATATCTGGATTTTTTTTTTTTCCTTTTGAGTTAGGGTCTCACTCTGTTGCCCGGGCTAGAGTGCAGTGGCATCATCATAGCTCACTGCAACTTCAAACTGCTGGGCTCAAGTGATCCTCCTGCCTCAGCCTCCCAAGTGGCTGGGACTAGAGGCATGTGCCACCATGCCCAGCTTGTTTTTCTATTTTTTGTAGAGACAGGGTCTCACTCTTGCTCAGGCTGGTCTCGAATTCCTGGCCTTAAGTGATCCTCTCGCCTCAATCTCCCCAAATGCTAGGATTACAGGCGTGAGCCACTGTGCCTGGCCTATATCTGGATATAGTTCATAGATTTATTTCTGAATGTATATCTATATCAGATATCTCTATATCATTCTATTTAACAGCTGAATGGTATTCCATCATGTGGTACACTATAATTTATTAACCAATCTCCACTTGATGTATACTTGGGTTGTTTCTAATCTTTGGTAACTACAAAAAGGGCCGCAATGAATAATCTTTATTTTGTACATGTGTGAGATAAATTCTCAGAAGTGTAATCATGGGATCAAAGGGCAAATGCCTTTCTGATTTTGATAGATGTGGCCAAGTTGTCTGTAAGGGTTTTACAGTTTGTACTGCTACCTATCATCAGACTGCCTGTTTCACCACAGACGCCCGAAGTGTGGTGTATATTTTTGGTATGTTTTGCCATTCTGATAGGTGAGAGGTGGTATCTCAGTGGAGTTATAATGTGCATTTCTTTGTAATTATGAGCGAGGCTGAGCACATCTTCAGGGTTCTATGTGGGGCTTTGTTTCGGGGTCCTGGGAGTCTAGAACCTTCACCCGTTTTCCCAGATGGGGAAGCTCAGGCCATGGAGCTCCGTGTCGGTGGAGCTTGATCGGAAGTGTGACAGGCCTCCTCAGCCTGCCCTCATTTCCTTTGCAGACAAGCATGAGACGAAGCTGAAGGGGGTCATCTATTTCCAGGCCATCGAGGAAGTGTACTACGACCACCTGCGTAGCGCAGCCAAGGTCAGGAGTGGAGGGCACCAGAGCGGGCGGGGGGGGCAGCCATGGGGAAGGGGTGGCCCAGCAGAGCTCTGGGAGCAAAGTCCTCCAGCCTGCCCTCTGCAGAGGCTCCAACCTAGTCCTTGTTCTCTTTGTCGACTTTCTCTATCTTTCTCCCTCTCCCCTTCCCAGAAGAGGTTTTTCCGCTTCACTGTGGTGACTGAGGTACCCCTCCCCACTTAGCTATAACCAGCACATTAACACCTCCTGTACCCCACTTCCCCTGACCCTTGACTCTCCCCTCCACCCTCCCTTCCCTGCCTGAGGGAGGAACAGAAAGTGGGTTGCAAAGAGCAAGAAGCTCCTGTGAGCTTGAGCACCTCCCTCTCCCTTGTTGTCTGCCTGTCCTGGAGGTGACAGCAGGGTGTCTCCCTGTGGGGGGCTGGCAATGCAGAAGGGATAGCCCCCTCTGGAGGGGCCCCAGACTGGATCTGATAGAGGGGGATTGATAAACAGGAGATCTTTGAGGCTGGGGCCAGCTGCCCTAAGTTGGCCCCCTTCCCACCAACCCTCTGCTGCCCACCCCAGCCCTCTGGGGTCCTGGGGCTCAGCATCCTGCTTGCAGCTTTTCCATCTGCCCCTTTTTTTGCTGAGAGGAAACTCTGGTCCTCACCGGAGCAACTCTTTATGTCTGATTCTCTTGATACCTGCGGGTGCTAAGTAACAGGTCCCTCCTTGGCAGGGGATAGCCCTGCCAGGGTCCAAAGGGTTTTGAGGGCCCAGGACTGCCGTGGTGGCCCACATGGACTGGTGGGGACTAGGCTTTGGGCCTATTTAGGACTCAGCTAGGGCCGAGAGTGCTCCAGGGCTTCCTGGGGGGTGGGAGGGGAAAGGACAGAAAGGGAGGCAGGTGAGGAGAATGTTCCTGGGCATGGGTGAGCCACTTCTTAGACCTTTCTCTCTCCCCTTGGCAGAGCCCAAACCCAGCCCTCACCTTCTGCGTGAAGACCCATGACCGGCTGTACTACATGGTGGCCCCATCTGCAGAGGCCATGCGCATCTGGATGGATGTCATTGTCACAGGGGCTGAGGGCTACACTCAATTCATGAACTGACTGCCATGGGCCTCCTGGACCCTCGGGCTGGCCCCAGGACCCATGCCCGGCCACCTGCTGCTCTCCTGCCCTGGAGAGAGCCGTGCACCGGGCCTCAAGGCTCACAGAAGCAGGGCATGGCAGCATGTGACTAGGGCTTTTGTACAAGAAGACTTTGTAATATTCTGTAAGGAGCTCAGCCCTGTGAGTCTGTGGGCTCTGGCCCCCTGAAGACCCAGCTGGAAGACAAAAAGTGGGGAGGGAGCTTTGCTGTCCCTTGGGCGCCTAGAATTTGCAATAACTCTTCAGGGTCCTGCGCCAGGCTGGCCAGGCTGAGGAGCCGCCGCAGAGTGGCCTCTCGGCTCTGACCTGGCTCCCGCTCTGCTCTCCCCAGCCTGTTTTCTCTGTTGTAAAGGACAAATTATGGTACCATAATCTGCCAAAGATGCCCCCTTCCCTCAGCTCCCTTTGCAGGAGCCTTGCGGGCAGAGCAAAGCCTCCCCCAGTGGGATAACAGCTCAGGCGGCTACTTCTAAAACCCCGCTCTGCCCTTGCTCTCCCTTCCTTTATACTTTTTATTACTTTGCTCAAGGGCCAGAGATCTCAAGCATCATCCTTGAGGTCCCAGCCCTACCTCCTTGTAGCAGACCCATCACCATGGTCACCATAGTAACTGCTTCGTCGCCATGGTTACATACCGGTTGCCCACTGTTTCAGCTGTGGGCCATTTGAGGGTACGTGCCATCATCTCTCCAGCCCCCCCGTGGGCGTCTCATGCTGTGGGGAAGGGACTGAACACCTTCTCCCTGACCCTGGCCTGTGTCTCCGGCTCTGATGCACAGCCTTCCGGCCCGGTCCAGGCCTCCCTTCCACCCGTGCCTTGCTTAGAGCCAGAAGGGATGAAGCCGGGGGATCTGAGCAGAGGAGCAATGCGGACGGGGGAGGAAGGTGAAAGGGCCATCCTTGGCTTCTGTACAGGGTTGAGTTTCTTACAGGGAAGAGGGCTGCTCCGATGCTCCCACAGGAAAAGCCCGAGCAGGAGAGGAAGCAGACGAGGGGAAGGGCCCTGAGGTGCCACCGCCCTCCCGTCGGCCTTGGAAGGGTGATGGAATGGAGAGTGGAGGACCAGGCCGCAGCTGTCTGGCCTCCCCTTCATGCCTTAACACTAAGCCCACCTCCCCGCCCTCCGGCCTGGCCCTGGGCCCTTGGTCCTGGCTGGGTGTTTTTCAGTATTTGTAAGCATTTCAGCAGAACAATAAAGCCTTTGGACTAGTACCTGTGTGGAAGGCCAGGTGGTATGAGCGTGGGCCTGGGGCACTTGGAGTAGCAGGGCCAGGTCTCCCCTCAAAGCAGGATTTCCACCCTATTCAAGGTTCCAGGAGGGACCTGCCCCACTCCACTCTGAACAGAGGATGGGCCGGGAGAAGGCAGGCACTGGTGTTTAATGGGGCAGGAGCTGGGGCCAGGTGTGGGGAGGGCAGGCAGGGTGGTGGGGCTGTCACCATGGCAGCAGGCTGAGCAGGAAGCTTAGCAGAAGGGCAGCCACCAGGCAGTGGGGCTCCAGGAAAGCCAGCTGGGCTCCCGAGGTCAGCCGGTCACCATAGCGGTCCAGGAGCATCAGGACCACTCCATTGGTCCAGCCAAACCCCTCCTGGAGACAGGCACGGGCAGTGGGGCCAGGTCCCTGGGAAGCCCCAAGCCCTTTGGGGGATGTGGGATCTCTACCCAGGGGCTCTGGCCCTGCCTAGCCCCGGGGGTATGAGGGAGCACCAGTCAGCGCCTCCAATGGGCCCACATACAGGCCAGCACACTGACTCCTGGGAGGCCTCCATCAGTCTTGGGGGACAGCAGAGCCTAGGGGTTCCCCGTAAGCTGTTGGCCAGCTCACCCCGGCCTACTTACCTGAACTTCATACTCCCCTCCACCACCGGGCTGTCCACCGTTGCTGATGTCATACTGGGGACAGGAGGACAGGCTGTAGGTCAGGCACTGCCTGCAACCCAATGACCCCAACCCCAACCCCAAGGGCAACAATGGGAGCCTCTGGGGAGAATACACTCTGGCCTGCAGCTCTGGCCCCTGCAGTGTCCAGGGATGGCCACTGGGCGCCGCCACTGTCCCAGCTGCGCTGGCCCTGGCCTGGGCTTGCAGAGCCTGACACCCCCACCTCCCCGCAGGGAGGGGTCCCTGGTGGACGCTGGGACGGCTCAGGGCCAGCTCACCTTCTCATACATGGCTGACTTCTGGGAGTAGACATCAAAGTTGGTTCGGATCCAATTCTGGGCCAGCTGGAAAGCCACTTCCTGGGCCTGAGGTGAAGGCGACTTGGCCAGGCCTAGACCCCACCCCAGGCAGCACCCTGACTCTCCAGAGCCCCCGTCCCAGAGAGAGCAGAGGCTGGGCCTCACTCTCCCCAAGGGGGCAAAGGGGCCTGGGCCCCAAGACCTCCTCCTGGAACCACGGGCCAGGCCGCCCTTCGTCTAGGGCTGGGGTTTGAAGGGAGAACAGAGGGCTGATTCCACTGGCTGGGTGGGCTGGACACAAACGTTTGCTGAGTGGAGGCCGGGAGAGCAGAGAGGGAGGAAGGACAGAGGCCCTGCCTCGTTTGTTCACACGTCCCCAGCCCCAGAGAGGCCGACCCTGTACATGCTGAGGGGAAGGCCCTGGGCTCCGCCATGCCTGCCTCCCTACCTCTGATGACCACGTCCTGCAGGGGGGCCCAGGCGTTGGGGAAGTCCCACTGCTGGCCTGTCTTCTGGAGAGAGGTCGGGATCCCATACTGGTAGGTCAGGATGTGGCTGTCCTAGAAGGTTCCAGATACTATGGCTGTGGGTGGGGCTGGAGCCAGGATGCTGGGTCCTGTGTGAAGCCAGATGTCCCCTTCCTGGCCTTTATCTATTTGGCTCACAGCTTCCCCCTGGTGGCTCGAGCGGGACCCGCAGCTAAGACAAGGGGCACAGCAGGAGGGAGTGGCTGGCACCTGCCAGGTCCTGCTCAGAGTCAGGAGGGGGCAGTCCTGCCTCCAGGGGGACAGACCCACCTGCTGCGTCCTCACCTCCAGGTATTTTTTTTTTTTTTTTTTGAGACAGAGTCTCTCTCTCTTGCTCGGGCTAGAGTGCCGTGGTGTCAGCCTAGCTCACAGCAACCTCAACCTCCTGGGCTCAAGGAATCCTTCTGCCTCAGCCTCCCGAGTAGCTGGGACTACAGGCATGCGCCACCATGCCCGGCTAATTTTTTCTATATATTTTTAGTCCGATTAATTTCTTTCTATTTTTAGTAGAGACGGGATCTCGCTCTTGCTCAGGCTGGTTTCGAACTCCTGAGCTCAAACAATCCACCCACCTCGGCCTCCCAGAGTGCTAGGATTACAGGCGTGAGCCACCGCGCCCGGCCTCTCACCTCCAGGTATTTCAGGGCCTTGTCTGCGACGCTGGGGTCAGAGAAGCAGCCGGCCCAGAGCGGAGTGAGGTTGGATGGGTAAAACTCCCGGTTCTTCTTCCCCGTCTCAAGGTCGTAGTCGAACCAGGCACCACTCTCCTCATCCCGCAGGACGGCGTTCAGGGTGTCCAAGCGCTGCGCCCGCAAAGTTCTGTACTTCCTGGCCTGGGAGTCATTCCCTGGGGCAGCGCCGCTTTAGGCCAAGCAGCCAGGGCCCCACCTTCGGGCACTATACCTTTCATCACCCTACTTTGGCCTGCTCTGTGTTCCTCTGCGAGGGGTGAGACATCCTGAGGACCAAGGAAACAGGCCTCCCTGGAGCCCCTGGCATTTCCGTCCCCTAGGTCCTGGAATTCCCTGAGCAAATGGCCCTGCAGTACTCCGGGGGCCTGCACTGTCCTGTCCCCAGGTCCGCCATCCCAAGGTCACTGGCTGTGCAGAGTCCCCTAGCTCTGAGGGTCGGGGGCAGCTGTCTGAGGGAGATGGAGTGCAGGGATTTGGGATGTGTGGACTAGGGTCCCCTCACAGGCACTAGAAGCCCTCACAGTAAGAAGGAGGAGGGGTGGGAAGATCAGGGTGGGCTCCACTTGTCCTGTCTGCTGGTACACCAGCGCAGGCTGGGCAGGTGGAGGCCCTTCCTCCCAGGGTTCTCCTTCCGGTTCTATCGCCAAGGCTCAGGCAGGAACTCAACCTCGACAACTCTGTCCCCTGCTGGTGCTCACCCAGCCTGGCGTAGAAGTTGCTCATCAGCTCCTCTGCTTGGCACAGGAAGGCATTCAGGTCAACAGGCACCAGTTTGCTCGTTCGGATGCTGCTGAGCAAGTTGGGGTTTGGGCCCCCGATGAGCCAGCGTGAAGAGAAGTCCCAGCCAGACTCGGCCCCCGCCTTGAGCTCGGCCCACAGAGGCTCCCGGTCACCTGTAAGGACAGAGCAGGGAGCCCAGCCAGTCCTGGCTGCAGGATGAGGCGGCCGCCTATGGAGGACCAGGCCCGTCGCACTGCAGATGCCCAGCCACCCTGCCCCCAGCCCTGCCACCCCACTGCTGCTCACCCTCTGGCAAGGTGTCTGCCAACTCTGCATCTTTGCTGTAGGACTCTGGCCTGGCAAAGAGCAGAGGGGGCAGCCTGTTACTCGTAGGCGCTAAGCCCCCCTGTGTTCAACCAGGAGGCTGAGCCATTTTGACCCAGCTACCCTCGGGCCCCCTCTGCCGCCAGTTGTCCAAGAGACCAAGCTAAGTCAGCCCCTTCTGCCCGGGGGTGTTGTGATGCTCAAACCAGAGGGAGTGGGTAAGAGATTGAGGGGTGGGCTGGGCAGTTTCTCACCTGGGTCCCCCATAAGGGACATAATAGCGATTCAGGATGTAGCTCTTCCCCCCCAAGCTCACAGAGACGCTCCTGTTCTTGGTCCAGAAGTCCAATTCCAAAGCTAGGGTCTCAATGTTTTCCCTGGGGTGGAGCCAGGCAGCACGTCAGCCCAGGCATGCCACCCCCGACCCCGGCCCTGGGAGGTCTGAGGGATGGGGTGGGCCTGCAAGGCAGGCAGGGGTACCCACTGCAGGAAGGCGATGTCGTTGGTGTGACTCAGGTAGCGATCCATCATGAGAGTCAGGAGTGGGGGCTGGCTCCGCTGCAGGTAGTACACACGCCCACCATTGGGGACGTGCCCATAGCTGCCGAGAGGGAGGCCTGCTGAGATGCCCTCTGCCTAGCGACTGGCTCCAAGACAAATCCAACTCCAGGCCCAAGGCACACCTGTTTCTCCGCCACCCCCGGGCTGGAGGTGCCCAGCCCCCTCTCACGTTTTCACCAGATCCAGGAAGTTCTGCAGCATACCCTTCACCGTCTCGGCCATCTCAGAGAGGAGCAGACCTTCCATCACCCAGTAGGAGTCCCTGGGGGAAGGGGCAGCTCAGCCATCACCCCACTGCCTCCATCGGCCTGCACACCCTCCTGGCCCTGCGTTCCCCACCACTGCTGGCCCCTGCAGGCCCCCTGGCCTCTCACCAGTAGTAGAACTCGAGAAAGCGCCCGCCAGGCACAATGAAAGGGTGGTCCGAGTAGATCAGTGAGAACCGCTCAGGGTGGCTGAGAACCTCTGGCTTCATCTGGAGTCAGGAAAGAGAAGAGAGCCACGGGGAGCCTACAATCCCCATGGAAGTGGAGGCTGCAGGAGGCTGAGGGTGGAGGCCCTGGCAGCCACGGGCTTCGGAGCCAGACAGCCGGGCTTGAGCTCTGGCTCTGCTGCTGCTCAGCCATGTGGTCGAGGCCCAGCGCTGGAAGCCTTGGTGTCCTCACCCACCATGTGCCAGCCTCTGGAGTCCCAGCTCAACCTGATGGTGTGTAGAAGCCCTGACCACTCAAGCGATCCTCCTGCCTCAGCTCCTGGTAGCTGGGACTACAGGTGTGCCCCACGGTGCCCGGCTATTCCCACTGATATTTCTGTATCTGTGTTTTGGTGGTGGGGAAAGGCAAGCCTGTCTCAGGCATTTTGATAGAGCAGAGAACGGGGCTCAGGTTTGTTCCACAGGTGCCCCTGAGGGCAGGTGACGAAGGCAGCCCGAGCTAGCAAAGAAGCCCTGAGCAGCACTTGTGCCAGTGAGTGCCAGCGCACAGGGGCTGAGCGGGAGGAGAGAGCAGGGGTGGTCCTGTGTGGCCTTGGGCAACCTCTGCCCTCCCGGAGCCTCAGAGAGAGGAGAGAAAGCAGCTCAGGACTGTGCTGAGCACACGCTTGGCCACACGCAGTGTAGCACTTTTTGTTCCTGAGACAGAGACCCGGCCCCAGGAGCTTCAGGAAGGGAGAGAACCCAGCAGGTATGTGAACATTTAGCAGATGACGCAAGAGCAGTGTTGGGAGGCGGCGGACAGGTGAGGTTTGCCTCGGAGAGGCTGGGAAGCCTTCCTGGAGGAGGTGAGGAGTTAGAAGTACTCCTTCTAACTCCAGAAATTCTTTCTAGAGGGCTTCCATTTGGGGACCTAGGGAGTAGGGGACTGTGTTCTCAGTAAAGGAGCCCCCTGATCTGTGTTCTGGGAGCACTGTGGGCATACCTCTCTCCCAGCCCCAGACCCCTTCCGCCAGGCCCTGGGTGGCCCGGGACACTGATACCTTCTTCCCCAGCTTCTTCCAGAGCTGGTGCAGCTGCCCTGCCCAGGCACGCAGCTTGGCGTCCGAGATCTTCTGCAGGAACTGGGGGCTGGAAAAGGGCCAGCCCTACAGAGTTCAAGGAGACAGCCCTGTTGGAAAGGCCCTCTCCTGTTCCCTGCCCAGAGTCACACCTGTCTTTCCAGTCCGCAGGGGTCCAGGGCTGCAGCTCCTGCCCCACGTCCTGGAAATGTTCTGCAACGAACGCCTGCAGCTGCCGCGTGGGGATGCTGTGGTTGTAGGCCTCGGACAGCTCGCTGAAGCTCTGCAGGACTTCGTCTGGAGAGCGGGCAGCAGGCAGGGGATAGCGGCGGACCTGATCAGAGGGGGCCTCTCTGCCTGGTCTTGCCCCCTGGCTTCTTTGGGGAGAAGGTTCAGGAGAAGGTGAACCCCCAGCTGCCTCACCTGGGGCTGTGGACAGTGGCATGTCCACAAAGTGCTTGTCATCCTGGTAGAGCTTGGCCATCTGAACTTGGTGCAGGAGCTCCCCGTGGCAGTAAATCCGGCTGCAGAGACAGGGACGGGAGCCGGTCAGGCCACCGCTACCGCCCCATCAGGGCAGAAAAGAGTGCTAGAGTCTGGGGCAGCCTGGTCAGGGCATGTTACCTGGAACTGGACAAGGGTTATGTGAGTGCAGGTATGTGCATGCGTGTGCGTGTAGGGCGTGCCTATGTGTGTCTGTGGCAGGGGTTTGTGGGTAAGAATGACATCCAGGGCTGAGAGAACTAGCAGGGTCTTCGTACAGTAAAGGACCGATGCAGTTGCCGGAGCCCGCACTGGTTGCTAACGTGAAATGGCGTAGAGTAGCCAGTGGACAAAAGGAGGTTGGCACTTTAATCAGTGACATGGTAGAAGCTGAGTGCTGCTGTGAGCCGATTCTCCGCACAACAGGCCAGTGTAAACTCCATCAGATGGGCTTGTGGCAAAAGCCTGAGATCGTGGACCAGAACATTTCCAGGCACAGCGTATGGTGGATGCCATGCGAGAGACAATTACTAGCTTGCTCTTGGGTGTTTGTTGAAACTGCCTCCGTGGCTACAGGACACAAAGTAATCCTGAAACCTGAAATACCCATAATGTCTTGAGTAATGTCAGAGGAACACTCTGATGAAGAAGGCAGCGCTCAGAAGAGTTTCTTAATAAAACGGAAATGGAGTATTCAGGAACATGCTGTTCCGGGAACTCAAGGAGGTGCACATAGTATCCATGAGCAGAGAGAGCCTCTTTCCCCTAAGGCCGACCTCGGAAGCACCTAAGGAGCTGATGCCACCCAGGAGGGGCCCTAGGAAGAGCTCTGGACTGACCAAAAACAGCTGCTTGGTTTCTGGGTAGACAGAATCTTGTTAGGAAGGCCATGGCGCTCTGACTGACTGACTGACTGATGGAAAATCTTTGAAGAAGGTAAGAACAAATCGGCTCAGTGAACTGAATTGCATGTGTTTTTCTTGCAGTGATGGGAGAATTGAATGATAAAAGCCCCTATGTTTGGGTTTTTACTGACTCATGGGCAGTGGCCAAATGGCCTGGTAGACAAGCAGTGAAAAATTGAACTATTACATGAACTTTTACGGGGATACCCACATGGGGCATGACCCTGTGGGGACCACTATGGAAAAAGAAGGGTGGGCCAGGCGTGGTGGCTCACGCCTGTAATCCTAGCTCTGTAGGAGGCCGAGGTGGGAGGATCACTTGAGGTCAGGAGTTCGAGACCAGCCTGAGCAAGAGCGAGACCCCAATCTCTACTAAAAATAGAAAAATTAGCTGGGCGTCATGGTGTGTGCCTGTAGTCCCAGCTACGTGGAAGGCTGAGGCAGGAGGATCGCTTCAGCCCAGGAGTTTGAGGTTGCTGTGAGCTAGGCTGACGCCATGGCACTCTAGCCCAGGCGACAGAGAAAGACTCTGTCTCAAAAAAAAAAAAATAAAAAAAGAAAGAAAGAAAACTAAGAGTGTGTTAAACTAGCTTTGCATACCTGATTGTAGATGCAAATGCCCAAAATACTATAAAATGCTATATTGGAACAGAAGATACTGTACCAATTTGGACCACCAAGTTACATTTCTTCAGATCAAGGAACACAATTTGTAGACCAAAGTGTCCAACAATAGGCCAAGCAATATAGCAAATGGACATATCATGTTACACATCATCTTCAGAGTAGTGGTTTTTTTTTTTTTTTGAGACAGAGTCTTGCTCTGTCACCCTGGTTAGAGTGCCGTGGTATCAGCCTAGCTCACAGCAACCTCAAACTCCTGGGCTCAAGCGATCCTCCTGGCCCAGCCTCCCACATAGCTGGGACTACAGGCGCCCATCACAACGCCCGGCTAGGCTAATTTTTCTATTTTTAGTAGAGACAGGGTCTCGCTCTTGCTCAGGTTGGTCTTGAACTCCTGACCTCAAACGATCCTCCCGCCTCAGCCTCCTAGAGTGCTAGGATTACAGGAATGAGCCAGTGCGCCCAGCCCAGAGTAGTGGTTTAATAGAGAATTGTAACAGGCAATTAAAACATTTGTTGTCTAAAATAGGGGAGGTAAAAGCAAGAAGGGCTGGCTTACATACCTTCACAAGTGTGTGCTCACACTCAACATGAGTGGGGCAAAGGGAGGGTTCCCACTGCATAGATTCCTCTGTTTTTCTGGGGGATGTGGGGAAGTGGAGGGGAGGAGGTTGCTGGTATGACTATATAATTTTTTCCCACATCATCTCAACTACTTTGTTCTTACCTGATACAGTGGTCCTAGGACCAGGACCACAACTGTGAGTGTCAGAAGAAGGGATGGTTCTCAAGCAAGAAGCTGTAACTGTGCCTGTAAACCTTTATGCGAGAATTCCTAAGGGCCTGGCGGGGTAGGTTGTGTCTTCACCCCGTCTGGCTACATTGGGGCTGTTGGTGAATGCAGCTGGATTGTCTAGTGGTTGAGACAGTCTGCTAGTTCTGCACCTTTGTAACCCTACCCTGTATGAATGGGAGCGACTGAGGGCAGGGCACTTGCTAGACTAGTACTGCTGCTGGCAACCTGTATCAGCACAGTAGCCAAACCTAATGTCCCTTCCAAAGGTGGAAAAGTTTGATAAAAATCAATGACAAATGGATAGAAGGAGAAATAGAAGCTGAGGGTAAAGGAATGTATAAATGGGCTATGCAATGAGGGAAATCCAACATCACATACATGCTTGGAGAGAGAACAAGAAAATATTCTCTTAGCATGATTATATCTGATGCCGGAAGGGGGAAGCCACACATTTGCCAAGACCACTCCTGCTTTTGGGACCCGACAAGGTTGAATGGCAGCCTGCAGACCTGAGTGGCACCGATCTGGGATTCAGTCAGATGGTGGGATGATGAAGTGGACCAACTGTTGACGACTGAAAGGAACTCTAGCCATGTGCCAGTGTTTTGACTCTTAGTTTTCAGGTTCTATCCACTATAAAGTGTAGCATTTGGGAAGGAATTTCCAGGAACTACTCCCTACTGGGTCTTTGGATTGTGTGGTTTACAGCTCCTGGCAGGCTAATCACCAAGGAACTGTAAACCTTGATAATCAAATGCTTAGAAAGGTCCCTGGTTATAATGACAAAATACAGCAGCAGCATGGCCAACATGCCACAGTGTGCCACATGCGCACGTGCAGGCCACCCTTGCTTTTGTGGATGGAAAGCTACTAAACAGAATAGAAAAGAATGGGTTTCTCATGGGATAAAAGCAGTAGGCATCACAGGGTAGGTCCAAATTCTCCTGGAGAATAGCCCCCTCTTGAGACAAGACAGGCTGTGGGAAGCCTCATAGCATTCTCAAAATAAATTACATGTAGGTGTGATGAGCACTCATCTAGCCCACTATGGGGACCCACCAATTTTTGGTCAAAACACGTACCTTAACTGCACTTGGGCCTTTAATACACAATGGCAACAACACACATGGTGGATTAAACAACATTGGCCTGTGAGATATAAAGGGGCTTTAGGGGAGATAAGCTCCCTCATGCTTAAAGAAGCTGTACTTCTTTTTTTTTTTTTTTTTTGAGACTCAGTCTCACTCTGTTGCCCTGGCTCGAGTGAGTACCATGGCGTCAGCCTAGCTCACAGCAACCTCACACTCCTGGGCTCAAGCGAGCCTACTGCCTCAGCCTCCCGAGTAGCTGGGACTACAGACATGCGCCACCATGTCCGGCTAATTTTTTCTATATAGATTTTTAGTTGCCCAAATAATTTCTTTCTATTTTTAGTAGAGACGGGGTCTCGCTCTTGCTCAGGCTGGTCTCGAACTCCTGACCTTGAGCGATCCACCCGCCTCGGCCTCCCAGAGTGCTAGGATTACAGGCGTGAGCCACCGCGCCCGGCCCAAGCTGTACTTCTAATGAGGAGAAGCATTCAGAGGACAGAAGTGTATTAACTAGAATAAGCAGGTTAGAGGGAGTTCTCTTCCAGGACGAAAGCAAGGCATGGGAGTCCGCCTGGAAAGATGACGAGCTCCGGTGACGTGGGTCACACTGGGTCAACAACTGATGCTGGGATAATGCCAGGACCCAGCACTGGGAAAGGGCCTGTGCTCCACCCAGCTGGGCCTCTTGACTGTTTTAATACAGTTCGAGGCCAAGGCAGCCAAGGGGCAATGCCCTTCGTCCTAGCTGCTGAGGCTCAAGTGGCACACCTGTGGGAATCTTATAGCCCCTAAATCTATGGGCACGTGTAGTGCACACTGACGCATTGTGACTGCCCTTGCCCCAAGAATATCAGAAGAAGACACACCATGTAGTACAACTAGCAAGGATAGAAACTGTTCTGAATACCACTCGTGTCCTCCCCACAGGAGGGAGATGGGCCCTGCCATAGAATGGCACACAACGGAAGGGAGACAGGTGACTAGCTTTGTCCCCAACCCACCTGGAACCCAGAAATAACCAATCGTGGCCACTTGCATTGATGCCTGTTCATAATAATAGTTGGTGTCTGGGCAAGGTCCGTTTCCATTTGTGAGGCATGGGAAACACCGCTGTAACTCTTAGAGATTTCTCTGTAATGAACAGTGCCATGACCATAGTATGAAATGGTGTAACCCTAGCATTGTTGGTAAGATTCAACTACCTTATATAAATAAGTCATATGATAGTACTGATAATGATGATTAAATAGATTGAGAGATTGAGTTATAGCCTTCTCAGGATGTAATATCAATAAAAAATGACTGGCCTAAGGAAGAACTTTAGCTAATTTCTATGCTAAGTAGTTCCGCACAAGTTTATCATAAGATACAAATAGAGGCAGATCAAGGAGGGAAATGAATAATCAAATTAGTACAAAAATATGAATATGTATATAATGGCTTTATAGGTCAGATTAGTTTCTTTAAATCTTTCCCTAGCTTTCATCAATTCCTCCAAATATTAGGCATAGCCATAGCGACACTATTACTGTATATGTTATGTAAATGCTGTACTAAATGTAGATGCTCAGACAAATATGATGCTTTGCTGGGCCCAGGCCGAGGGCCGCAGGGGTGGTTGTGTC